ATATATTTATTTTCGGCTAACGTTTCGACGTCTTCGTCTTCCTCAGAGCCGATGATCCGAGTCGATGGTCCATGCTTGTTTTATATAAAAATATTAATATAATATAAATATATTTATCAACCTCGTGCAAGCTTGTCAAGAAAGAATACATATTGATTAGTCACACCGAGGTTCAAGGAAAGTCGGTTTCGAAATATTACTACGCTTTGTGCTAGCTGATAAAAACACCGACTTCTGCACGATGTGCGCAATGATGTCCGGAAGAAATACAAGTTGTTACCACCGGACATTATCTTTATACGTACACCATCAGCATTGTGTATAAAAGGACATCACTGAGTAAGGATGCCTCATTCGAGAAGATGGCTCACTGAGGAAGGCCTGGCTCGACACGAAGGCGAAGCTGCAACGTCGAGACGAACAACAAGCATGGACCATCGACTCGGATCATCGGCTCTGAGGAAAACGAAGACGTCGAAACGTTAGCCGAAAATAAATATGTTTATCAACCTCGTCCAAGCTTATCAAGAAAGAATACGTACTACTATTATTATTAGCATTATTATCAATATTGCTGCTACTATTATCATTGCTATTATTACTGTTACCTTTAGTATTATTCTTACTAGCAATATTGCCGCTGTTATTATCACTACCACCACTGCGAATAGCACTATCATTGGAGCAGTGCGTTTAATCTTTGTCGCGATTTAAAAAACCACTCATATTGCTGTCAACAAAAGATAAACAAACTACTGAGTAGTTGATTCGGTAAGTGAAATGTAGTCGCCTGGCAATGAACTGGGTGATGAGACACCCGTACGGAAAAGAACGATCGCTTGTTTCATCTGAACTTGCATATGACCGAGTCCGCGAATAATGTATACCTTCGTTTAATAACATAATCCCACTAAAAAACTTATTTTTCTCGTTGTTTAAGTAAAAAACACATCAACCAACGTAAAAATGAAATACACGTAAAATGTGATATGAGAACTGACCGTCACCACCTTACTCACAGAGATGCTGAAGTACAATACATGTCTAGATCAATTACGGCCTTTCATGATTAATGTAAGTTCATTTCTTACAGTTTTCCTTCTACATACAAGAAAAAGTAAATTTTCACTCAATTAACATAACAGGAACGTAATACCCTATGTACTTAAGATTTACAATTCTGTAAACTAGACATGATATTTACAGTCATAAAACAACCACAACAGAATCGAGTGGACATTTAATGTTTCTCAGGGTACCAAAAACAACCTTGCTCAAAAACCTGCCACCACATAAGGAAGAGAATCAAGTTTCGTTAAGCCTGACTAATCAACTACACAATAAACCAATTTACTGAGTAATTTCGATACGAGTTTAGCTAAAACGGAGCTTGCAGTTAGAAAAAAGCACCTCATTATCACATCGTGGGAAATTCCTCAAGTATCATTATAAAGATGACTAAAAACATATTGCCGTAAAATCATGAAAACTAGAATCACAGCTACCGTTCCACATTAGCAAAAATCACAGATCTATACACAAGTAGTGGAGGAAAGCACCGAAAAGCACTTATAATATTTATGTACAGATAAGCCGGCTCTAATTTCTAACATTTTTAATACACAAGCACTCTCTCCATCACGGTTGCCGTGACGCCTGCAAACAGTTGCAATTACAGCATTTTTGTTAGAACCAAACTACTGATCAATGACGAAGGACAAGCTAAAACACGTCAGAAGCTGGAAATGTTATCTAACCTGTAATTGGGACAAGTAAAACGTCCTTTTTGTTTCGATTTGTTTTTGCGGGAAAGGATTCATTTCGTTGAAAGCTACCTATAAAAAAACTGACTGCATAACAACCGCTGATAAAATGACGTGAAGAGATTATTATGGAGCGAATGGAGGCTTTGAGGCTTTTCATTATGGAGCGTCGTATGAAAATAGATAAGTCTTTGAATTATCTAATGGCGTGAAGCCTCAAAAAAGCGAAACCTATTGAAAAGTCAGTCGCACTCAAATACTATTATAATGCTGAGATAAATGCGAAACTCCGGACCACAGGTGTCTGTGGTGAGCAACGAACGCGCTATTGTTCTTTCTGGGGAGTAACGCGTTCACGACCACACCATGCGGGTCCTTCGTTTCGCCTGTCTCTCACCTAGTTCTGCTAGTGAACGCGTTACTCTCCGGAAAGGACTATAGCGGGTTCGTTCCCCACCGCAGACACCTGCTGTACGGAATTTTGCAAATATCCCAGCATTATAGTAGTTATATTTCGCAACATACCCTGCCGTTAAAAAGAATAGGCAGTAAATAAAAAGGTTAAGATCAAATACTATATTAGCACATAAGCCGTTGTCAACATAAACATAAGTCAACTCGACAGAGTAATGCAACGTGAGACCTCATTAGACGTCCACATACCCAATTACCAAGACCGTTCCATAAGACCCAACATCTATGAACCTTCGTTGCTTAATCTGTATCGCAAAGAATTTGTGAGGATTGGTGGCTAGAAATAAAAATCGAGCCCATTTTCGAGAACAAATGACGTCATGCCTTTTGGTGCCCCACAGTAAAGATTTATCAATCAGCTGAAACGCGGTTCACACGGTCGCAAAGTGATGCCATCCGGCTTATGTACTCCTACGGCAAGTATCTTTACGGAGTTACTGGGGCTGCATAAATTCCCTCAGTAAACTCCTCCGAATTATAATGGTTGTCTTCCTTGGTAAAGAGGATCACAACTGACATGATAAATGACATTCACTACTTACTAATGAGTGGAAGCACATGAACGGCTAAAACCGTGTCCCAAACAGGATTAAAATATGAAAACTTACTAAAATTGAGAAGCCTTCATGTCAAAAATAATAAATGAATGTTATATCAACAAATCTGTTTCGTCAAAAGTCATCAAAGCTCAAAAGTTTCCACTTCAATCAATATCACACCAGAAATGTAATCTCGCTAAAATAAACCGCACCTGTGCTAATGACTTGTAATCTGGGACATATTGTCGAGGCCTACTCAGACAGGCATGAATAGTACTCACAGACTTACTTTGCAATACAGCCGACTCACACAACTTCAAAATTGCCAACGTAAATCGAAATAACGTCTGAAAAAAAGATAGGATACTGAATAAACTATGGATGACAGGAAAGGTATCAGCAAACATCTATCCTACCCTAGGCAGAGCTGAGACAAACCTATCAATAGAAAGAGTAACAATTAAAAAGAATTGGAAGAAATCTAGAATTGCTTCGTGGATTAAGTAGTTGGATGTGGTAACGTCTTCTCACTGTTGTATTTCTGTATAGTTCCCATTAAGAAGCCCAGGTAAGAGTAATCCAATGCAAGAATCCACCACTGCCCTGGTGTCAAGCTAGACGCATGTAGGCAAATCTCACTCTGTTCCACAAGGGTGGCGACTGCCTAAGGTGGTAACGACCTAAGGCTGACTTTGGCTAAGCTCACCTCAGGACTCCAGGAAACCACAACTGCTAAGTCAGCAAAACTACGAAAAATGGAGAGTATGCCGTACCCCGCACAACATTGAAGATGTGCCATCCAAATATGCAAGTAGAACAGTATTGGAAAGCTTTTAAAAGAGTTCATAACACGGACTCATTTAACTCGATTATTTTTTCAATTCGTAGTACTTCCAGTTGATAAATCCAAGAACGGGAAACCTAAGAAGTAACTGATTAAAAATTGGTTTGTAAAAATAGACATGTGACTGGGGTGAAACAATCGATAACACGGGCAATTTACCGGCATGGAAGCTTACGGTTCCTACGATCGACTTTCTATTAACCTCGGCATTGGAATATGAATGCGTCGTTTTCTTGTTCAGCAATCGCGAGGTTTTTAAACAGCATACATTACTTCCATAAAAACACAATACAATACAACGCTAGCTGACGTTTCGGCAGTATCGCCTTCTTCAGAGCCGCTTTTTACGTGACTTCCAATGAGGAAGTTTAGAACAGCTGTCAGTCATCAACCGTACGCGACTATAATCAGCTGTTCTAAACTTCCTCATTGGAAGTCATGAAAAAGCGGTGGGTTTTTTTCGAGAAGTTGTTGATCATGTAATTACCAGAGTTTTTGGCCTTTTTGTAAGTGTCATTGAAGCGTTTGGCCTAGTAGATTGTATATCAGAATACCCTTCCAGGCTCTGAAGAAGGCGATACTGCCGAAACGTCAGCTAGCGTTGTATTGTATTGTGTTTTTCTATGGAAGTAAATGTATGCTGTTTAAAAACCTCGCGATTGCTGAACAAGAAAACGAGAGCTGACAGTGTTAAAAGGAAGGTGAAGAGCTAAAAAACAAAAGCTATTTATTTGAGGACTTAAGTACATGCTAAAGCACTTTGCCAGCCAACTATTGGCAATCTTCAGTTTATGAAGTGACGCAATCACAGCTGCGTTTTGTGATAACTGGCAGTAATTTTTCGGTAACAATTAAGGTTACGGAGGACTTATCGGCCATTAAGAATTTATACACCTTAGTTTTTTTTGCCAAATTAATGCTCGTTTAGTGATTTCACTCCTCTCGTGTGTATTTTCGCAACAGTTTTCTTCCCAGTGGTACTATTTTATATCATTTCAAAGATCATTTTGCACACTTTCGTTCCCTATAGTTGATTTACGACATAAATCATACTTACAAGTTAGAAATTGAGATGTAAAAACAGTGAAATCGATAAATCCACTATTACCAATTCATACTCGGTCGCACACAGTGAAAACGGTGCGAAATATTAATGAGACTTCGGCCCAAAGAAGTGTTAAAGAATAGACACTGCGACGTTAGTTTGAAAAATCTTGTCGGGAGAATTCGACACTGAAAGCGAGGTAGATGAAAGACTTGCTTCCGCCTCTCACGACGATAATTGAGAGCTTCCCCGTAAGCAAATAGATGCACGACTGTTCGAGAACTTGTAGAACTTGGTGTAAGCATCTCGGTCGTTTCGGAGCAACTAAAGAAGACCTGAAAACTGAAGAAGCTCGCGAATGGATGCGGCAAGAATTGAGAGCATGACCTACAACCCACGCGTATCCACATTTTGCGTAACCGACGCTCTAAAGTTTGACCAAGCTTAGCCATGAAATTCCGCTTCATCCACCATACTCATCTAGCCTCTTAAAAACCGACTATTATTTCATCAACTATGTCGACAACGTCCTGCACGTAAAATGCTTCCGAAACCCACCCGCTGCCTATGCTGCCCTCAGCCACTTAATCGCTTTCAGAATTGCAGATTTTTAAGCAAACGTAATAGAGAAACTTGTTTCTTGCAGATAAAAACATGAAAATCTCAAGGCTTTTAGTACAATTAATAAAGTTTGTTCCCAGCTAAGATAGTTCACTATAAGCAATACAGGTCGAAATCGGACAACTTCAGAAAAAAATATATATGTATATATATATATGTATATATATAGTTCATGTCATTGTGTGTCGTGTTATCGACTTACTAGAACTAATTAACTATTTATCATATACTGGGAACAGCATATAAAATCACCTTATTTCCTTCATAAAGAAAGACGTCAAAAATAGGTAGATAAATCTCATGCGGCAAGACATCAACGCAACACGTCAAGAACCAACTTAGAGCGAACAGCGACAAATCCACTTCAAACTGTCTAAGGTGCCCAGCAAGTCGAGGCAATTTTTCCGCAACAAGATCGCGTAGAACCTTAAATATCAAAGCATCACACTGCACTGATTAAAATGGAAAGAAATCACTGCCAAAAGATTTTCGCATCACCACGCCCTATACAGTATGAATGGCAGCAATGAAACATAAAAGCAGCAACAAAATATAAAAACTATGGCATAAACGTAAGAAAGAAAGAAAAAAGAAAAACCGAAAGAAAGCGCAATGAAACCGACATACATAACCCGATTTCCCTCTCCCTCCAACTTTGAAAACCGCGAATGTGTTAAATAAAGGTAATATATAACTTCAATTATGCTGAAATATTTGCAAAACTCCGAACCGCAAGTATCTAAGAAGGAAACGAACGCGCAATCACCCTTTCCCCGGAGTAACGCGTTAACCACCACACTATGCGGGTCCTTCGTTTCGCCTGTCTCTCAGCTAGTTCTATCGATCTCTGCCATCAGCAATCACCCGTCACCGAGACTGATCTGGAGGGCCCAAATCGGCAATGGTCCAGAATTTTGGGAATATCTCAGCATCATTGAAGTTATATTTCGCAATATATCCTGCCATTAAAAAGAGTAGGCAGTAAATAAAACGGTTAAGATTGTGATTATAACTAATGCATCTAGCGCACCAATGACGTTTACGTTTACTCCATTGATCAACATTGTATATAGAAAATAAAACAGCATGTAAATTCTAACCTTCTGATCTGCTACAGCTCCGATAAGATTGCTCGCGTAGTAGTCAGCTGGTTGGAGCTCCGTAAATGCGATAAGAAACCAAAACGCGTCCTCTTCTTCGAGATACAATAATGCAACTGCTGCTATCCGATTCAAGCCCTTCATGAAATAAAGTAATGCGGTACAGCAAACAAAGTTGCAAAGTTAACGATAAAGAACAAATGAAAAATATTAAACAGGGTCTACCTGACAATAACCAATAACCCTGTCATGATTTCTGTACGCGTAGAGCACTCTCCGTAATTGTTTCACCTTCTCTGAATCCGGATCGGCAAACATACGATTAGCTGGTAGCGTGCGTACCAAGTCAAGATCAATCTGAGAGAAAAAACCATCTCCTCATGTTATACAGCATAAGTATCAAACAGTCTATGAACAAGTGAGTCGAAGATTACAAATGTCAATTGACCTAAGCACTACTAAATTAACACATTTGCAACGATGCGTAATTTTATACGACGGACATAGGGAACGACACCTAATTTTCGCCGTCCTTGGAGCGCATTCAAATCAATGATTCACGACCACACTTCCAACCTCTCAACAAGAACCAATGCTCATTTTTTGTGTTATTCACTTTCCAAATCAGTTTGTGGAAGTACTTTTTCGCTAATTTTGTACCCATTTTGTCTTTGATATTCAACGTATGCTCTACGTTCTCTCATATATCTTTCCAATTTCATTCAGCTTGTCGTCATCACTGTGCGAATCAACAAATGCCTTTTCAAACCATCTCCTTAACCACTGCATCACTTGTATCTCTTGTAGTGCCGTTGATCGTCGAGTGACTCGAGCGGGTACCAGCAAACTTTCCACTTTCCCCGTCGCGCGCATGAGCAGCCCAGCGGGTTCTGCTAACTCTAGGGACTCTTTGGATATCACATCTTTCTACTAGGGTTTTCGTGAAGAGCTCTGATTATCGAGTTGGTGGTCCGCTTGTAGCATGTTCGACAGCTCGAGGAATCCAGCAGTTAACGGCTGTTGTCATTCATACGCATTACATGACCGCCCCATACTGCCTTCGTCAACTTTAACTGTAGAACAGCGTATTTGATTCTTGATCACTGACATAGATTGGAGCTTCGAATCCACTCCCTCACTTGCGTAATATGGGAAACTGTCAACATCTTTACTGAGCGCTCAATAACGCTGAGTGATCATTCATCCTGCTTAAGCGGCGACCAGGTTTCTGAGGTATACGCTAAGGCACGAAGAATCGCGAAGTCGAAAAGTTGGGCACGGAGCCAAGTGTTCTTTGTTCTCTTCACTACTTCCTCGATTTTCTTGAAAGCTTCCCAAGCCGCTCGTTTCCTTCTGCTCAGCTTTGGAGCTAAGTCGTTCATCATATTGATTTCCCGACCTAGATAGATATAACTGCAGTATTCGGAGATATTCGTTCCGTTGAGCGGGAATGGGGCATACGAAACCAGTCCGTTATTCATGAACATCGTTTTGTGAGATTTAGTCGAAGACCAATCTTTCCACAGGCCTTATCAAAGTCGGGAAGCATACGTTCCGCATGGCTAATGTATGGTGTTACAAGGACGATGTCATCAGCAAAGCGGTGGTGTAATTCCTGACGATCGATTTGCGCTCCCATATTATCCAATTCCAATGTTTGCATGACATGCTTGAGGGTAGCGGTAAACAATTTTGGCGAGATAGTATCGCTTTGTCTAATCCCTCTTTGATGTTAACTTTAATATCGTTGTAGAGTGGTGATATTTTCGTCGTGAAATTCTTATACAGCTCATAAATGCTCCTTAAATATTGAATAAAGGTGCTCTGGCTCTCGATCGCTTTCATGATTGTTTCTGTGTCAATTGGTTCAAAAACTGTCCTTAAATTGATAACAAAGTGATGCCTCGGTCAGCCTTGTTATTGTGTGTATATAGGTCAACGCACTGAATTCTTTTCGAAATCCTGCTTGCTCACATGAATGTTCTTTGTCCAGTGTTCTATCGATCCTGTTTAGAATGACTGGAGTGAAGAATTTAAAGACCACAGACAGCAAGCAGATTGGGCGGTAGTTGATGATACCATGAAGGTCTTTAATAATAAAACGGTCTTGCTGCTCTTCCACTGAGTAGAGACCTTGCATTCAAACAGGTAACGTGTGAAGAACCAAGTCGATATGTTTATGAGGACAGCGGAAGGTTCTTCAGGTGTTCAGTTATTATCATGTCCAGATTTGGTGATATTTAACCCTTCACCAACTAAATTCGTAGTTCATAATGGTTTCGGGACTTTGTTTTTTTAAAATTTGGTGGTTTTTTCTCCTTTCCGCGAGAAATGAAATGTTGAATGAAAGAGGTGATCGTCTGATGTTGTGCAGAATTTTGAGACAACATTGAAATCGGTTAGGCAAAAGTTTCGATTTACTACGATGTTTTTCATTATGGTACTCCTCATTGGGACACTCCCACGTCCAACGTTGACGCTGGTGCTTCTGGAATTGCAAGTTACCATGAACGGTTTCGGTCGTCACTATGTACTCAGCCAGCTGCTCAGCCTATTCGTTGCATTGTAATCCGTGTGTCTCAATGCGACGTTCTTCAGACTTTCCTCAGAGTCCAATTTTATGGTTAAAATCTCCAATAATAACCTTAAAGAATGTATGGTCTTCTCCATAGAACTTCATCTAGAACGCTTCTACTTCTTCTTCGTCACAGCTCGATGTCCGCGCGTAGACGACGACGATTATCAAAGTCGCTATTCATCCACAACTCTTCGATCGTAAATGTCCAATTCGGGTTATTAGTCGTTCGAATGAATCGATGTTCATGGCCAAACTTGTCTTGACGAGAACGCCGCCGACTCCTTTATTGTTAGATGCTCAGTGGAACAGTTCTTCCCCGGTGTCATAGACGCCGCTGAACGGGTGGCGGCTTCTCGTCTCAGGCAGTACGATGACGTCGTGATCTACCTAATAATCTCTCTTTGATTCCGAAGATAACATGTTTTATTAAACCGTTCAATCTCTAAGAAAAAACGACTACACAAATAATAATACCACAGAGAACGGTGACACAGTGGTTAAGGTGCCACGCAACGCACGCACGGTTTCTGGTACATTCCGCACCGCGCCAGTCAAGTCAACAGGATTGGAAAACTCTTGCCAAACTTCTCTATGAAAAACTTTGTCTGTTCCGTAAAGGTCACAAACTGTTTGTGGTAAAGAACGGGAACGATAACGTTACCATGACGAGATTTTAGGGAATCAGCTCGAATAGCATTCGATGAAATTCATGAAGAATACAAACTTATCAACTAGCAGCCAAACCAACACACAAATAAAAACACATTTTTTACCCCCACATGGCTCACCGCAACTATCACGGCTGCAAATTTTACTGAGTGTCGAACTACGATGCTTGGTGCTTTCATCCCCAGTGAAACCATCTTAGCTTAGAAGAGGTCTAGCATTTCCATCAGGATGTCAAATAACAGCAAAAGCATGATCATTTCCACCCTTGTAGCAATCTTGCTGCAAGATTATAAGTCTTCCCATTGACATATAAGTCGGAAAATACGGTCGGTGACCAGTTCCAAATACGCTGATTTGCAGTTAGAGGGAAGCTACGAATAATTCAACCACCAATAAACAAGCACAGGCGCTCATGCACACAACGTTGGGTAATAAGGTAACAGGTGATGGGCGATTAAATATTAAGTTGTATGCACGTCCAAACAATGGAACATGCAGGACTGTTTCATACAATGAACCTAAAATACCAGAATATTACCTATAAACGCAGACTTTGCGCTTCAATGTGATTGCTCTAGAGACAAGAGAAAAAATAGACACACGCGAATAAGAGGACGTACAATTGCCACTCGTGAAATCTGAAGTCACTGAGTATAAAGAATTCCTCTATTAGATAGAGAATTCTCTACCTATCTAACAAACACATTCTATAGGTCGATAGAGACTGTGCGTGCGTGCCCTATATCCACATCCCATTCTAGTTATCGGGCACGCCACTGGACATAGCATCTTGTAGCCATCAGTCATACCACCAGACATGGTAACATGCCATTGGATACGCCTGTTTGGTGACTAGACCCCGCGACCCGAGCCTTAACCCTACGACCAATGCCACTTGCTTAGACGTAGCCACGCCCGATAGCACCGTTATTTGGCTTCTGACGACGCCTTGGAGATCGCCGTTGCCATTCCATCATCATTTCCCTCCCGCTTAACCTATTTTTACAAACTCATTTGATTAGGTTGTAAAGATATTAACTGTAATCCTTAGCTCCTGCATTGCTAATACATCAATGTTCATCGTCGTCTATTCTCATGTAATTACGTTGTTTTGTTAACATAATTTAAATACTATCATTACTCACGGGCACTTTACCAGCAATTCTTCACTCCCGCGAACCCCTTTCATATTCTTGCGCTATGAGACGTTACATTGGTGCATGCACTATTGTTAACACATTTTATTAGGTAAAAAATCCACTGAACCGCCCCACTTGTAAATTATTGTACGTACACTATAAAACTCATTATAAAGGTTTAATTACCCAAGTTTGAAATACTTTACCAGCAATTCCCCACACTTTTCATATTTTGCGCTGTGAGCCGCTACACTTAATGCCGTTGGCGAAAAGGTTGCCGTTGATCCTCTTGTTTATCCATCCCATGAAATCGTTTCGTCATCCTCGGTTTAAAATCTCCGCGTGAAAAAAGATTACTGTCATAAATTGCGACTCATTAACCTGTGCATCTGTTGAGAGCAAATCACATACGTTCTAGTATCATTTTGTCTACAACGAAAAACTTTCAACATATTTGTTACTGATCATCTCAGCACTAGACTACGAACAGATAGCAAAAGACGAAGAATAAAGCCCTCCGTGTAAATTAATTGCTGACGAAAACGCTCTCAATTTGACTTCATTGAACACCTTTAGAAGTGACTGAATGCATATCTGACCTCTACAGTGATTCGCGGTACCCTACCGATGTATCAAGTCAGTGCTGTTCTCTTCTCAAACACGTCTAGATATTAAACCTAATACAAATCCTTTGTCTCCTGCGTTAGTTGCAATCAAGCTACTTCATCGCTTAAATGTTAATATATACCACTTTCGATGTGCACAGAACCGAATCATTACCTGCTTAATAGACAAGTCATAAACTCCGCTCTCCTGCTGATGCAGAGTCTTTCTTAACATACTGCTGTAGTAACCATTTCCTAATTCGGACAATTTCTCTTTCAATAAAAGTTGCACAAGGCTGAAACAGGTATGTATTATTCAAGATATTTATGCGGAGATTTTAAGTAATGAGCAACTGAATTCTACATAAGAGGTTGTAAATACAATTTGTGAAACCACCTGTAATGATATAAATCGGTCATCATCGCTTACAGATTAGTCAAAGAAGTGGAATGAACTAACCCCTTCCATATGCGGCCTCGATAAGCTTCAGGAATGCCTGTGCGTATAAGGTTTTTCAAATCCTGACTCCCCACAAGTGGTCGTCCTACCCAATTCACAATGAACGAATCCCAAGACTGAAGCCATATCATGTTTTCCTTACTTTGCACCTTAATAAATTCGGTAAAAAAGCGAATTCAACTTCGGATTATACAGAAAAGGAGTCAAATGCTGAACCTCGATAAAACTAATGGAATGAAAAATATCTGAGCTAAAATGCAAACAACATAAATTTACCAATTTTGCGGCCTCTAAAGTTCGAGTACCTTTGTCAGCACATTCGGCAGCCATATCTAACAAATCTCCACTGCTGTTATCCTGAAGAAAATGTTTGGTAGATAAAACGCAGCAAACAAAAATAATTTGGCCTGATAGAGCTAAAATTAATTTTAAGAAAAAAATTCACGGTGAAATGAAAACGTCTGATAAATAATAGAGCTAAAAGATAAGGATTTCTGCGTTGATCAATCACTGACGCATTCGTCATGCATTCAACCTCATCAAATCGTAGGCTTCGGAAACCTAGGTGGGCTTCGAACCAGTGATTATTTTTTCCTGGAACTGACGTACCACATCACCGCCGAAGCTCTTGCTTTTCCTTTCTTTCAGCGAGTTAAACATTGTGATTTTGACAGCACACTTCACCTCAACTGGATTCAAAGCCGATTTCTGCTCTACAGACGATTTCCACTGATGGGTGATTGCCGATAGCACTGTTAGGGTGAAAAACTAGATTAGAAAAGTCAAGGCAAAGGCCTCGGTGGTGCTACAGGTAACATGTGAGCCACGGAAAGGATAATCGCGGGCTCAAAGCCTTCCTGGAATTCCAAATTTTGCTGACATCTCACCATCGCAGTTGTTGTATTTCACATAAAGCTTTCCATGACATAATAATAGGCAGTAAGTAAAAAGTTAAACATCATAGGATTGAACGCATATATGGAATGTAAAATGACTTGTTTGGGTCTGTATGTTTCTATTAAATAGAGAATTCTCTACCTAGCTAATAAATACTTTCTATAATTCTGCGTATTCAATAAAGGAGCTCTTTCTGACCACACGACAGAGGAGGTAACCTGGCGGCAATATAACTACACCACCTCGCTGCTCAATGGCATAACTAGAATTCGCTATGCCAACTTCGCCCATTCCCTGGTGGTCTCCAATAGTATAACCAACAAGAAATTAATAGGTCGTATCCGCCCCTTCTTTAGCATGGCCTAGGTCATCTCTGCCCTTTCTTTAGTATAGTATGTTACGTTCGTCGTTTAATCCCATTTCTTTTCATAATTCAGTTGTCACCCTCCCCATGTGTATATACCGCTTCATTATTTACATGAATAACCTCTAAGTCAAGTTTTGTCAGCCATTCGCTCACTTACACTACAGTCAGTCCACATCTATTTCTTGCTCACTTGCTTAATTAATTTAATTGTAATGATTTTCCATCCACATCAGTTTATTAGACACTCTCACTGTCAGCAAACGCAACATCTGCACAATGACACTTCTCAATTCGTCAATCTGTTCTTCTTTATACATCAATCTATCGTATAAGCTCCCACGTCAAATTAGTGTTAGGCGACCTGTTATTTTCATTATTATTATTAATAGTATTGTTATTATTACTACTTATACGCAACATTAAATAAGTCCTTGTCATTCTGCACAATGCTCGAACCTCTTATATAAGTCTTTATAATAAAATATAAATAAAAATAATACGAATAATAAAATATAATAAATAATACAATAATGAAATAATACACAGTAAATATAAAATAACAGAATAAATATAAATATAATATAATATACGAGTGAAATAAATAACGATAATAAAATAATGTGTAGCAAGTATAGAAGAATATAACAAATACGGTATAATAAAATATAAACGTAATAAAAAAGAACGGAGGACCCGCATTGTGTGGTGGTGAACTCGTTATCCCCCGGAAAGGGAAATAACGCGTTCGTTCTCCATCGCAGAGACATGCGGTCCAGAGTTTTGCAAATATCTCAGCATAATTGAAGCTGTTTCATACATAGCACCCATCCATGAAAAATTGTAATGGGCAGTAAATAAGAAGTTAATACAGTCTTTATAATATTATCAGTGCATCATCGTATTCTTTCTTTACTATATTTGAATTCGAATTCGTTGCTGTTTATCTCGTTGTTGCACATCGACTTGGTTAAATAGTAACTATACCGTCTTGGTGTAAAATGCCTTTACGCTACCCACACCGTCTTCCCCACTCGTCAAACTAGTCTCCTATTAAATAACCAATCTATTTGCTTACTTAAATAGCAATTACATTATGTCATCTATTCGCTCTTGACATCACTTCATATATTTTGTGTATATACGCTTCATATACTGGGTGAACAAGTGTCATTTTGCAACCTCAACAGTACGAAGCAGATGTAGTATATTAATCCCGCAACATTACTGTCGTTGTATTAATGCCGCTACTAGGTAAATAAAGGCTTAACTACCCAGAGTTTGGAGTTAATTGCGGCTGACACAACTACCCGAGTGAAAGTTCCGTGTGCTGATCCAAGGAAATCCACCATCCTATCCACAGTTGGCGCATAGAGGAGAAATCCCACCAACTACTATGCTATACTTCATGGTCAATCGTTACTGCCCGCCGACGTTCCAAGTCAGTGTTGTCTTCTTCCCAAACAGGTCTGGTACCGAACTGCCGATGCCGGAGAGAAGGAATATTTGATGCCGAGGCCTAGGGTGGAACCAACGACCACATTTATTATGCACTGTAGAGCATTCCCAACCAATGTGTTATATTTTATAAACCTGCAACAACACATGGCGTTCAGTCACCTATTCCAGGAATCCATATCATATTCCCTTCTAGTTACGAGAACGTTATGATTTATAGAGAATTTCTCTATCAAATAGAGAAATCTCTATCTACCTAGCAAATATTTCGTATAAGTCGATAGAGAGCATTTCGCGTAACTGCATGCAACCTATTGTATAGTAAAAGGCCCGCGTACCTGCCCTACATCCAAATTCCGCTTTAACACGCCACGCCACCAGGCACACTACCGGGCACGACTAATTGCTTGGACACTAGAGCTTGCGACCCGTGCCTTGACCGTGGGACACACGCTACTCACTTAGATCTAACCATGCCCCTAATCACTATCGTTCGCTTTCCGACGACTCGTCATGATCCCTAGCACCCTTCTAAATTATTTTGGTTCCCTTCCTGTATCAATGTAGTTGTGCATGTATGATCTATTCTATAAAATTATCATAGCAACTTCACCATAATCTTCGCACTCATAGTTGCAGCTCACTTTATTAGCTTACATAGTCTTCTACCAGGAATCTTAACAGAGCTACTTCATATCAGTCGTTCCAACTGATCTTATCTTCACAACCACTTAGTGTAGCTCTCATCATATCAATTAAACATATGCTCATTTAAGTTAACAAAAAGTGCACCATATTCCTCTGTTGCTCTTCATAACATTGTTATTACCATTTTGTAATGTCACAACCTTACATGTGCCTTCTAATGTGCTGACGTATTCTAACGGCAGTACTGTATTCTCCATCACACTTATACATTACAGTACTCCTTCAATCTGCAGCTAAATGCTCTCTCATCCCTAGCCAACCTCTTTTAACGGCGCTACCGTACCCTCGGTCACATTTATAAATCACATAGCCCTTAGCCTGCGGGTAAGCCGCTCTACCATCTCTGGCTTACCTCATATGCTTTGTCTTCCCCTCAACACAAAGCATAAGGTACTGTAGTAGACTTCGTGTTGTCATGAGTACCTCTTTAATCATATCACACCAGCCTAAAAATTACGGAACTGTATATTGTACATACATTTCTAGTCTCACTGCACTGTCGTGTAAATATTACGTGTAGAAACGGTTTATTCACCCAAGTTTGAGGTCCGGCACGCACGACTGCGCCACTAAAAGTCCCACGTGGCAAACTAACGAAGTCAAGCATTCCATCCACAGTTGGCGGACAGTGGACAAACCCGACAAACTACTATTCTATATTCCATGGTACAACCAATACATGATCACAGCTATATTCCCAATAATAAAATAATAAAAAACACTTCTTCAATACATAATGGAGGGTGTTTATTCTATACAATCAATCATATGTGACGCGTTGAGTGGTCGGCATGTACTGTAATACAGTCATTTTCTTCCAGATAAGTGCTTTTGGCGAACTAGCTTATTCATCACAGAAAGAAACCTCCAGCAGGAAGCGCTCCATTCTGCACTTAGAGATATACAAAAAATCTGTTCTCAAACGAGTTCATTGATCGACAATTTCACTACTAACGGCCTCTTATTTCAGCTGTAATCAACATTATGGGTCATGGTCAACGGAAATACGAGTGTAAAAACTATCGAAATAGGAAAAGTTCCAAACGATGATAATAAGATCATTGTAGTATGATGGACTACAGTAACAAATGGTAAACGAAAACCCCTAAAACGAAACACCAAAGTCTCTTCTACAACGCAGTAATGTTCACAACCCCTGAAATCCTCCAGTTAACCTATAACAATTGCTTATTTTTGGAAAACCAACAAACTCGTAAGGGCTGAAAATTGGCCATCGTTCCAAGCGGCAAGGTCAGTAAGCACAACGCGACGCGAATGTGTTAATTAGACTATGACAATAATTTAGACGAACTAGCATTGAAACCATATTCAAAAAATCGCACATCAACTTAAGCACGCTAACCAGCAACTACAACTCATAGGATAACCCATCTCTAACATTACTATTTGTATGAAATGCTGAGTTATTTCCAAAACTCCGGACCGCAGGTGTATGCAGTGGGGAACGAACACGAGCTGTTGTCCTCACCGGGGAGCAGCGCACTTCACCACCACACCATCCGGGTCCTTCGTCTTGCCTGTCTCTCAGCTAGTTTTATCAATCTTTTTGCCAACCGTCAACGGGATTGATCGATAGAACTAGCTGAGAGACAGGCAAGACGAAGGATCCGGATGGTGTGGTGGTGAAGTGCGCTGCTCCCCGGTAAGGACAACAGCGCGTGTTCGTTCCTCACCGCATACACCTGCGATCCGAAGTTTTGCAAATATCTCAGCATTTCATACGAGTTATATTTCGCAACATACCCTGCCATTAAGAAGAAAAAGGCAGTAAATAAAAAAGGGATAAGATTACTAATTGTTTTTTTAAAATTAAACCAGTTTGAGACTTCATTACATAAACTATTAAAGCTACGTCATTATTTAAATTAAATTACCCAGTTTATTATCCAACTGAGAGACAGGCAAAACGAAGGACCTGGATGGTGTGGTGGTGAAGTGCGTTACTCCCCGGAAAGGACAATAGCGTGCGTTCGTTCCCCACCGTATACACCTGCGGTCCGGAGTTTTGCAAATATCTCAGCATTATATACGAGTTATATTTCGCAATATACTCTGCCAATAAAAAGAAAAAAAGGCAGTAAATAAAAAGGGTTAAGATTATCCAGTTTATTTGAAAATAAACTAATATTTTACGTAGCCGAACAAATAAGGGAGCAGATACTGGTATGGTGGCGAACACATTTATTATCCTGATGGTCGAACCTAACCAGGCGCCAGTTCGATCCCGCTTAGGGCCGTCAAGCTTCTCATCTACTGAGAGTCGTTAAATTGGTACCAGAATTTCACGACAATTCCAGTCTCTGCAACCCAGGTGCCTCCCAACGGCTTACCGCCTCACCGTGGCTGAGAAGTGTTGCTAGGTGTCGGACTGTGATGTACATGGGGCGGGGATTCGTCCCCTCGGTAAGGTCTCCCAAACTGAGGAGGCATTTCCATCAGGAAGCCCCGCTAAGGGTAAAATAATACCAGGATTCGCCCCGTCCTGGTATAAAAATCGCATGGTGGAAAATTTCCCTCTGATCCACAGGGCTACCCGTGGTGGTGTAGACCTGGGACAAACTTTGGCCAAACTGACCTCAGTATTCCACGGAACCACAATGGCCTAACCAGCAAATCTCCGATATATGGTGATTGCGCTGGAACCTGTACACTCAGTGAGGACAAGCCGTTCAAGTGTCAATTGTAACCCAGGTGGGAACGCCCTAGCACGGCTATCTCAGGATTCTAAGGTGATTTGACACGAAAAAAATCCTCAACTAACAGCCGATCCCACGTTCAAAACTGTTCGAAAACATTCGAGAATGGTGGATGCATGGGAACGTACCCAATGCAAAAAGTGCTGGAATCTGCACAGAGTGATACATGGGACAACGGGAAATGTAATAGAAAAAAAGGAAAACGAAACAAATATTGGTTAAGAAGTCTACCAACATTATTCTCTAAGCAATTTCAAAGACTTTCATTTCCATTGAAATTCAACTTTTCTACATTTTCTCGCGTTTCAGTGAAAAGAATGCGATCCTAGTTGTATATTACCAGAACTATATTTTTTTTAGAAATACAACAAAGAATTTTTGGATAAATACACCACAAATTAGGAAAGTAGCGGTGACCACATTTACCATGAGATATAACCTAAAAGAGTCTAAAATAACTACTATCACAAAAACAACGACAGAACATCGCTCACCTGCATTGTCCTTTCCTTTAAGTAGAATCCAAGCGCATCCGTTTCTTCCGCAGAACTACGAGCGGTTCGGCATACTTCTGCCATCAATTGCTGTAGCATTCCCTTTTCCATCACTAAAAAACACAAGCGTCACAAAAAACCAATACTGTACAAATAATGGAACAATCAACCAAGAAATCAAGGCCATTCGCTTATTACAAATATCAAAAACCTGTTTAAAACAGTGGAACATTTAATTTCATTCTTACTTATACTCGGCTTTTCGGGAGACTTGAAATGATTTAGGACCATGAGATATCGGCTTTTCATTTGGTAGTAACATCCCTCAACCTCTGCAAAATGTTTCTGCCACTTGCGTTCTCGCTCTTCCACTGACCGTACCATTTTGTGCAAAACTGAATCAGAAAAGTTAAAAACACTATTCGACTTACTCGAATGTCTAGGAAAGCTTAACGGACTTAAATGAAAATTATGCCGCTAAACACCCCAACCAAACAAGTCACCGGAAATGTGTTTCTATTTTGAACCATTTATCTATGCTTATTCTTTCTAGCCTATATTTCTTTTGCTTCCGAACCACCTTCGCCTATTTGAGATACGAACTTGATGTCGCTAACACCTAACCATATAGAGACCACGTAAAAAAGATAGGTTGGAAAATAAACTGACGAACAATCTCCTTATTTAGAAACTCATTCTGCGCTCGATATCCTTCAACCAGATCACGTAGCTCGTTGACATCATGCACGTTTTGCTCTTCAAATACAGCTCTTTCAGCCTCTTCACACCGTTGAGCCGACTGTGACTCAAGTTCCATACCTTCTTCAACTGCAACATCAACGTTAAACAGTGGAATTGAGATATAAAAAAAAGTAAGAGCCATGAAATGATTTAAATGAACAAGCCTATCAGAAATCTTGCAATTTAATTCAGAAAGCTCTTACAAAACAGCCAATTTATAAACATCGGTAAGTTCAATCGCCTTTGTAGCAAATCGTAATTCCCTTAATAATAACGTAGCCCAAACTGGTACCAGTAAGCTCTCGCATTGCTCTTGTGTACAATGAATTCGATTAGCACAAGGAATACGAAAAACATCATTCCAATTGTTTTTGCCTAAAGAGTATAAAAGGATACCTCATCTCTTTAAGTACTTGTTAAGCTGTTTGAAAAAGGATGATAAGTTATTGACACGTCTCCTTAGCACATCAGTTGCACTATATTAATTTTACAAAGTGCGATCGTCAACTAAGAAGCTTAAAATTTTGTACTGACCAGTTAAGATAAAATACCCTGTAGTCCTTGATGTTTTTTTGATATCGTGTAACTATTGCGGAACTTGTAGTGCAGTACCAGAGATTCTCTCCAATAAAATGCGTCAGGACAGAGTTCGACCCCTTCTTGGCCAAAGAGCTTTCTGACACCCTTTAGTCGGGAAATGTTGTTCAACAAAGATAACATTGGAATATGAATGCGTCGTTTTCTTGTTCAGCAATCTCGAGGTTTTTAAACAGCATACATTCACTTGCATAAAAAACACAATACAATACAACACTAGCTGACGTTTCGGCAGTATCGCTTTCTTCAGAGCCTGGAAGGGCATACTGATATACAATCTACTAGGCCAAACATTCAATGACATTTACAAAAAGACGAAAAACTCTTTGGTAATTACATAATCAACAGCTTCTCGAAAAACTCACCGCTTCATCGTGACTTCCATTGAGGAAGTTTAGAACAGTTTTAGACGAACAGAACAGTTTTCGGACGGCGTTCTCAAGACCCTTGATCACTACCGCAATAGAAAACTTATCTCTAACCTTACAGCCGAACAAAAATGTGGCATGCGGGAAATTAGAAAATTAATAAACTCGAAAACAATAAGATTGTCTGTTAACGATAAGGGGAGAAAGTTCGTAGTTATTTCTCGCCACTTGGATATTGAGATAACAGAGGAACATTTTAGTGATGCTATCCTCTATCGCCCATCCTCTGAAAAGGAATATAAAAGTCAATACCGAAAACTAAACAATCAATGGGTCAGTGTGGCAAAGGCTGCAGGTCTAAAATCAGCTGTTATTTCGCACTTTAAAATCGATAGACCAACATGTCCCGTTCTATACCTACTTATTAAAACACATAAGTTGGTACCACCTGATGATCATGCGTCAACCAATCCGTCATCATTTAAGGTTAGACTCATCATCAGCTGTGTAAATGGGCGAACGGATAGAATAAGCTGGTTTTAAAGCCTGTTACTTACCCAGCTGCTTAACCACATTCCATTTCACCTCACAAACAGCCAAATGTTCCTAGAACGTCTACGTAACGCGTCTCCTAATAACGCGTACGTGATGGAGTCTTTCGACGTTAGCGCACTGTACACCAACGTGTCGAATGACTCCGCAATGCAAGCCATCTTAGAACTTCTTGTTGAACATGAAGGAAGAATAAATATGCATGGCTTGTCCATCCAGCAGCTAATGGCTCTCTTAAAGGAGTGCCTAACTTCTCGACTTTCAGATGGTCGGGGAAATATTTCGCGCAAATAAGGGGGTTGGCAATGGGACGGCGATTGGCACCAAGTCTTGCCAGTGTGTTTATGTCTAAGATAGAAGCCCTTGTTCTCGATCTCTGGCCACTACCCTACTACAGATACGTAGATAATTATTTTGTCGTCTTCTCTACACAGGAGGAGATGGACAAACGCTTTGAATTATTGAACGAGCAGCCTGAGTACATAAAGTTCACCCGGGAGAAACCGAGAAAAAACTGGCTCCCGTTTTCGGACGTTCAAATAAACCTATCAAGTAGCGGTTACCTGACAAAGTGGTATCGAAAGCCAAGTAACAACAACATCCTTGTTCATTTCCTTTCTCAACCACATGCGACTATAATCAGCTGTTCTAAACTTCCTCACTGGAAGTCACGAAAAAGCGGCTCTGAAGAAGGCGATA